AATTCATTTCGTTCATTGATTAAATAATATATTCGAAATTTTTTAATATTGGAATATACGTATAATTATTCTTAGCCATATAACGTTAAAAATAGCTTTTGTGGAACTTCACGTTGATATTTTTCATTTTCACACACGCACACACACAAAAAAATAAATAAAGTAAGTAAAATTTTTATGTTTAGCATCGAAACGTTACAGCAGCCTAATAAAACTAACAAATAAAGTAGTGATAAAAATATAAACAGATATATTTTTGACACACAAAAAGTCAAACTCAGATGCTCCCTTTTTTGTAATTACGATCAAGCGTTCTATATTGATGAAAATCATGTGTCTTTTTACCAGTGTGGGCTTTCATCTATGTAGGCTTTCATCTGTATCGGTATTTGTCGCGTGGGGAATTCTCATAGTGGGTATTTTTGTGGGCTTTGTCAGAGAACCCCTTCTCTGATACTGCTTGTTTTTGCCGCATTTGCAAGGCAATAATTGTAGTCAGGGATCTAATGAATCAGAGTTCTGAGTATAAGACCTCAGTCTTCAAAGCATGCTAATTTTGAAATAATATTCAGCCATGTGTAGTTAAATAGAATCAGCTTTTCGTCTAATTTAATGAAAAGTCAATTTATGGAGAAATTGTCTTTTAACTGGTAATTGTACTGTAAAGAATTCTCTCGTGCATAAATCCATTGCAAAAACGACTATGGTGAGCTATTCATCGTCGCTACATGTAAGAACATGCGCGCGGTCTCATGCAATGCATACGTGAAAAAATACCTATAAAACAATTCTTAAATGTTTAATAATCTCTTAAAAGATGTTGAATATAATAAGCGAACACATCTTGCGATAGAAATTAATTGCGATGCTTTATAAAAATTCTAATTGATTAGTAGTTTGGTTATACTGTAATGTTTCATTTCTTTCTATAAGCAAGACAAAATATTTTGTTCAGAAATTGATTAAGGGGCTTTAGAACCATTCTTGTGGGTTTATTTTCGTGCAGAAATTAAATTTTACGATATGACAAGCTTTCACAGTTTTGCTAGAATAAAATGAAACTCAAGTGATATTTCTCTTATGTTGAAATCTCTTATCAACTGAATAATTAATGAAAAATTGCTTCTCGAACAAAGCTTTTTGAGTATATATTAAAAACGATATTTTAAGGAATTTGTGCTAGCCGCTGGATTCGAAATGAATATAATACGTTCACAACCTGGCCACTGGCGCTTATGGACGAATGTATTTTTGAAATTATTTGAATATTATTTAGAGCTTTAGTCTTGATTTTCTTAGTTCGAAAAGTTCGTTCTCTCTTTTTACTTGTATATTTTCTTTGAAATCCTCTAAAACTACGCAGAATTTGAGCGAAATCAGTCAAACTAAATTCATGCGCTCCCCTTGTAAATTTTTTCTGCCTATGCTGTTATTGCAAAATGTTTCTTATTTCGTTTTATGACTCCTTCAAAAACTGTTTGCATCCTACATATCATTTTTGCTGAATTTGTGGTCGTTCCTTAATTATCTAGGGAAGAAGTAATTTTGACAAAGGTGTGTTTTTGAATCTTCTGTTACGAGTTATAGAAGTTAAATTTTCATCATCGTCGTCGTTGTTACTGGTCGCCGCTCGAGTTGCCCTCTGACTGGAATGTTAGCCATACAGAGTTTAGATGCCGGCTCGTCGGAAGATACCAGGACTGTGACAGTAAGATGGGTGCTGATGAACTGACCAAATAATAGCTTGGAACTTATTAAAAAGATGACAGTACACTTTGTTTTGTGGAAGACTTGAGCACACGGGTCACTTTGAGCAATGAAGGAGAGGCAAAACTGTAACGGCGTTGTATGTACAAAGTATAAATTGCAACTGAGCATAAGCTAATGCAGAAGAACATATCATTTAAACATATGAGCAGTTGATAAACAAATAATCAAATTGGAAATGTAGGTATTAAAACTCAATTATGTGCAGAGTTAGATATAGTCAACAGCTTTGAGTATAGGGGGGATAGTGCTGCTGTACTCCTATTGCTTCAGGAAACTTACGTTGTGGACGTGTTTAAGGCAAGCTGGAAGGCTTGACATGGCTGACTAGGCAGTGATACGATATGTAATGACTGGGGCAATTTTATTTTGTGCAGATCTGGTGCTGCTAATGTTAGCGGATCACGCTGACAGGCGTACGGAAGCTGGATTTTAAGATAGTATTCTGAAGTTATAAGGTATTTCTCCCGCCTTCTTGGTTGCCTTCGTGTGTGGTGATCTGCAAGCTGGGCGCGTATTCCAGAGGTACGTGGTTCGATTTCCGGCGAAGGCGTTGCTCATTTTTCATCTTGCCTGCTTCCAAAAAAATACCTAATGTCTCTACAGTGGCGCCCGAACTAAAAAGGGTGATGGATGATGATTCTCCACACCGAGGATTTAGCGATTCAGTCCCCTAAAAACCACAGTCGCCCTTTAAAAGGGGGAGTATATAAGGTATTTCTCCCGCCTTCTTAGCATGCCTTCGTGGGTGTGGTGGTCTGCACGCTGGGCGTGTATTCCAGAGGTCCGTGATTCGATTCTCGGCGAAGGCGTTGCTTATTTTTCATTTTGCCTGCTTCTAAAAGTACCTTATGTCTCTACAAAGTCTAATGACAATCAAATACGCAATGGTCCGCTGTTCCTTGCCTACCGCATACACAAAGATCTGTGTCACTGCTTCGTAAGTGGTGCAAATATGCTGAGAATGGACCATGTCCAGAGAAGTATTGTGTCAGGGAAGCGGAAGTTCTGCGTAACTCTGTTGCTACTTTTGAAAAGAAAAGGAACGCCCTGCGACCCGTGGTAGCTGTGAGCCATCTCTTCTGTTACTTTTTGATCATGTGCTCACGAATGGTCTGCTTAAGATATGCTGGGAGGAGAGTTGTCATTTCATCTTGGACGTTGTCTGCTACCTGCTTCGCCAGATCGTCAGCTAGATGATATTTAAATTTTCGTTCCTTTGATAAAATCACTGTTTTTCTATAATTAAGTATTTGGTATTATCCAGAGGATGTGATATGTATCATTTTTATTACTTTTTCAGTTACATAGAAATTGTAATCTGTTGCGTAGCTAGTCCTTCTTTTATTATTTTCATTTATTCTAACTGTAACTCGCAGCTTATTGTACAGTTCTATTTTTATAATTCGTTGTGCATAAAATCTAACGCAATATCTGCTATAAATGAGTTAGTTCATCCACTGCGCAATTTTTTTTAGGTTGTGGCGCAGATATTAGATAATGTAGTAAATCTACGTTTTTCGCTGAGTAAAATTAATCTTACTTTCCAATTGAATGTTAGAATTTGAAATTTGTATGTAATTTCCGACTTTGTAAAAACGTTCTTTTCTGGCAATATCAATAGTTACATCGGAAGTACCGAAATGCAGACACATGTTGTATTAGTAATGGTGGAAATTGCAATTCATTTCTTTTCCGTGAACAAACTCTCACTTAAACACCTGAAAAATGGAGAGAAAATTTCAAAAATTTAGAAAATCGTAACAAATGAAATGCATTCAGTCTTAAAACAGTGCAGACACAATGTATATTTAAGCGCAGTGTGTGTATATAGTTTTTAAATAATTGAATCGTTATTTTATTTACAAAAGATTTCATATGCGAGTTTTCCTTTATGGTAGTTACCTGTTATCGTTATGAATAATTTCTAAGTAAACTGTTTGAAATTATTTGTATTTTTTAAAGTTGTAATCTTTATCAGTTTACTGTGAGGGTTTTTACTAAGTAGGAAACGCTCATATGTGAAGCAATTACGCTTTATACTTATTTAACGGAAAGAACGCAATAAAGGGATAAAAAAAAGCGTAGGTTTTAGTAATTTAACTGATTGCTAATAAATACGATAATGCTAAGTTAATGAAGTATTGAAATTTATAAAATAGCATATTGTGAGTATATGAAGAGTTTATACTTCACAGTTTTGGAAGCTAAAGATTTAGTTAGTAGAGGAGTAAATGACGGGGGACTGGGATGGCAGAAAAAATTTTAATTGTTAATAATAGAATGTATCTTTATTATTTGCAGACTTGAAGGGTACTAAACTCTGAACACAGAAAGCAGCATTGTATTTATTTCCAGTTACAGAAGTTGTGTTCACCTACTCTATTTTATCCAGAGTTTTACTGAATTTTCAAAGTCATACTGTGTATTTCACATCATGAGTAGTTGTTTTTTCAGTGTGCTCATATTTCGATCTTAAAATGTAGCCGCAGCGTTTTCATACATGTGTTGTGTACCTGGACCGAACTGATTCATTAAAGTCCTATCAGTAGAAAATACTTTACAACTATTTTTGATAGGTTGATAAATAAATATACTTTCTTTATGACATCAAATTTATACGCATACCATACATTGCTGTAACAGACAAGAAAATAATATGAATTTTTACCGTTTCTAAGAAAGTTTTCTTAATGTACAAAGTATCCCTCTCGAGCTATGATTTATAATGGAAATTATTATGAAATGAATCTCATAATACGCCTGGAATCATTAATTGTCCTAAAATTTCATGGTAATAAACCTACGCACTCTTAACACTCGACATTTTCTGGTAATTTTTGTTGCTGTATTTTATACATAGTCATGAACATGCTGACTCGTCCAAGAATCAATTTGGATGTCTTTTTTTGCATTATTAATAGTTTTAAGAGGGGGAAAATAGGGTTAAATATTTCCTCACAAAATAAATGAGGAAATATTTCGCTTGAAATTGATCTGCTTTTAATATTATGCTGGATCCTGAATTAGAAAAAATAAAGCTGATTATTTTTTATTACTTTTAATTACATTAACATTTTACACTGCTGCTCTCAAGATTTGCGTAATTAGATAGGATAAAAATGTAAACAGTTCGGTATACCTCATTTCAATATAAAATTTTCCTTTGTATTTATGAGAATAATTATTTTTTTGCTAGTGGTATTAAATCTGATATATTTCTTCATTTGCAGATTTCTTTCAGTTTGTTGTTTCGCCTCTTTTTGAAACATGGGACCATTTCCTGAAGACCCCTTTGTCCAGCAAGCTTTTAGAAAATCTTCGTCATAACTATTCACAATGGCAAAAAAGAATAGAAATTATACAACAAAGTAATGACATTGAAGATCATGCTAAACTAGAAGAAGTGCCCGAAATTAAAGTAGATTCTTGTTCCGTGGCTTTTGAGGCTCTACCATTATCTGGAGAAGATAACGAAGAAAATCAAAAGCAACTTTTATCTATTGATTCTGATGTTGTTCTAAAGCAGCACCGATCTAAAAGTGATAGTGGTCTTACTCCGCGTTTACTTTCTCCTAAAATTCATATGGAAACTTATTCAACAGAGGAGCTTCATCCCAGCACTACGCTATTATCCCTCTCAAGTATCACTAATACTGTACAATTAAGACAAGTTTATGCTGCCACAAAAGTTGAGAGTCATCTCATATGTCCTACAGTTTTTCAGCCGCTTTGTTTAAATACTTGTACAAAAGGAACAGATATTAAAAAATCAGATTCTGTACCTGTATCGGAAAATTGTTCTAAAAAAGGTGAAGATTCCTCACTTAATGAAGATGGAAATATCACTGATACCAGTGCTCAAAGTTCTGTCGCAGTATCTTGCCCAGATGGTTGTGGTACTCCATCTCCTCCAGAAAAGCCGCCTACATCACAGTTTTGTAAAACAAAACAACGATCGCATTCTCTTATCAGTGAGTCTGAAAGTTTAAAGTATTATTCTCAAATGTTACAAAATAGAAGAGCTTCAGATTTTGGCCTACAAAATCAGAGTAAAGCTTCATTGGCGCCAAAATATGTATCTCCCGTTTCCAATAATCAACCATTCTGTGAAATTCAACGTAATCGTGAAAAACAAATGCCTTCTGTTTGTAATAATAGGGATGACACTGCCATTAAATCATTCTGTAATAATTATCAAAAAGATGATTCTGAATGTTTTACTTCTAGTAGAAATTGTTCTAGTAAACACTGTACATCATCTACCTGTAACTGTGAAACAGAGTCTTACAAAAAAATTCCTTCTTGGTGTTGGCATATCAGTCGCAGCTTTTCTGCTGAGCGACCTGTTAGGCCTTCACTTGACTTTGATTCACCTTTACCCGCATGGCAAGGTTCGTCATCTAGTCTGACAAACAGACACAACGGAAGGCGAGGTTCTGCTCCTGTACCAGTTTCCTTCACCGCTGATAGTGGAAACCTTTCAAATACAGGCGACGTAGATCCCAAAAATGGTCTAAAAGGAGGATCTGAAATTAGTGGTGCATCTGGAAGGAGATGGTCAATTCCCGTGGAAACAATAGCAGGTTTGTTTGCAAATAAAATATTTTATGAAGTGCGTTTTTAAATTCTTAGATGTAGATATATGTAATTTGTAGATTTTGTACTTCAGATTTTAGTACATTATCTGAGGAATGTATGAAAAAAATATCATTATATTTTCAATTATGTGTATTACTTCATTACATGTCATAATCTGGAAATGAAGGCCTTGCTTTGTTAGCTTTAGCATTTACTTTAGTGCATGAAAAATGTCTTTCTGCTTAGCAAGTTCCAATTTTCTTACTGAGAAGAAAGGTGTTGTGTCGATGCAGTTTATTTTAAATATGCAGTTTTCTGAAGAGAATAAAACGAGTTCAGTCATCAACCGTTATTGTCAATATTGTCAACCGTTTATTGGTTGTTCAAAATTATTTCGTCCGATTTAAGAAACAGAGATGCCTTTTTTAAGCTGTGGCAACTGGAAGCACAGAAAAGGTTTATTCTGTTAGCGGGTAACAATATCAGTTTTTTTTTTTTTTTTTTTTTTTTTTTTTTTTTTTTCTTGATTGTGTGTGTTTGCGTTTCAGGATAATTTTTGCCTAAAATTTAATTTTGCATAATCTTCCTGCATTAATCCAACTAAACAGCAGAAGTTAATTTCAACTTGTTTGGTCTTTTGTAGTTTACCAGCTTTGACTTAGATTAACCCAAAGAAGGATGTGCGGCATTTGACTTATGTGGTATTATTCAAAGTCTGAAACTATGAATATCGTATATAATTGGGCCAAAAAGCTAGCTCAGATTAGTATAGACGTTTCTTATTTGGGGGGGGATTGCTTGCTTAATTTTACATTTTGCACTGGTAGACTTCTATTCCGTACAAATGTACTTACTGCATACAGACTGTAAATATTCCTAATTCGAGGGAAAATAGTAATTATGTAGAGATATTTTATTATGTACACAGACTTTTCGCACATTTTTAAACGACTCTGACGCCACAAAGCAGGATTACAAATACAAATATTTATTTTTTATCTGTTAAGTCTTACTCTTAACTATCAGGTCACATCTTAATTTCCAAAGCAAAAGAGCATTTCTGAATTTGACCATCGAAATTTTTCCTCACTTATTTTGTGCTGTTCTTCATAGTATGTCAGTTGTCCTTGGTTGATATGTAGAAAATCCCCTTTTTAACTATCTAAAAGCCCAGTAGTCCGTTAGTGTTACAGCACAAGACTTTGCTGGAACAGTTAAAGTGCACATTTCGTAGCAGTCTCTCTTTTTTTTGTTCTAGAAACCTTATTATTCATGCTGACATGTGATACTTTGCTTTATCCTGGTGGAATTCAACCCTCTTGAGTGGATTGGGAGCATTGTTATGAGCTCTGTTTTTAGTATTGTCTTATATGAAATACAAAATTTAAGATCTGGGCTGAATGCAGGCTGTTTGATATTATTTCCAGCGAATTTTTCAGCATTAATTCATGTCTTTCACCGAATGATGTTTACTGTAAAAGAAAATTATCATTGATTTTGTGAGGATAAATTCAGTTCTGTATGAGCCAATATCAACGAAACTATGATGATGAGGTACGTACGCAAATCTTAGTGTGCCACATATGTAATCAATTCGTGCATGCAAACTCTGGACATTTCTGCTCAGTAACAGTGTCTTCTATGAATATTAGTCCAGTTATTTAGTTTGAAAGGTATTCTACAATCAAATTATAATTTTGACGGGTATATGGACGTTTCAGTGCTGAGATGTGGATTTTTAGCTTCTTCGTGTCTTGAGTTCAATTTGTTAGTGTACTATTTAAGCCTGGAGGCTTAAAAACGAAAACTTCCTCAACTAATTTTGCGATGTCTTGTTATATCGGCCTTAAATTACATGAATCACTTTGCTTATAGATGTCTCTTTTTTCCAGTAGATATAAAAGCTTATCTTTTTTCCCAAACGGTTTCACAGCTTTCATCATTTTTTTCTAATGAATTTCTTGGTACTGATGAAGTCTTTCCTGTGGAAGTAGATTAATTTTTAAAAATAATTTGCTTTATCTATTCTTTCTTCTATCGCACCAGAGGATTTACAATCACATTTTGCAGTTTGTGCATCCAAGAACCTTAGCGATTAGTTAATATTTTGAAGTTAAATTATAAGGTATTTTCTTAGCCACCTTTCGTGGTGTAGTGGTCTGCACGCTCAGCGCGTAACTGAGAGGTCCGCGGTTCGATTCCGGCGAAGGCGTTGCATATTTTTCATCTCTCCGGCTTCCAAAAAAATCCTAATGTCTCTACAAAACGGAAAAAAAAAAAAAAAAAAAAAAAAAAAAAAAAAAAAAAACAGGGAAAGAGGTAAGGAAAATGGACCAGTGTAACATGTACATCACTTAGTCACTTTCATGGAATTTTCTTGCAATAAATAGCGCGATAAACTTATTCTACTCTTGAATGTGATAAATTAATTTTTTGTGATAGATAAATATATATCTTATAAGGATTTACGATGTTATGTTAAATATTAAAAAGCATTCAAACTGAGAATGAAGCCCTGTAATTTTGATAGATAAACTCTTGCAATTATATGAATAAATTGATAAAAAAAGCAATTATTGTAATAAAATTCTTTTTACCATATTATTTGGTTCACCCTGTAAATACGTTGTAATGCTTTTTAATCTCATGAAGCCTGTTATATTTAAAAACCTGAAGCATGGCATTTGGTTTTATTTTAGTAACTATGTGCTATACGTTACACCCATATTAGTGCTTACTTTTCTGTTTTAGTAAAAAGCATAACATATAAAAATTATTTTTCTTTACAGATTTGCAAATGATTCAAGTCACAAAAAACTCAGCTGACAAAAATTCTGTTCCATTACGTTTTGGGAGACGAAGTAGCTTTGGTTTGTTGGAACCATTGCTTGCGATGTCTGATTCAGAAAACTCTTTAAAACAAAGTTGCTCCCCATCATTAAAGCCCATTCATCGTAGTTGCCATGTGTTTTCCCGCAATGATACGAAAGACGAGCTCAATGAACACACAGATTGCAAATCTGTTACAAACTCTGACTCTTTTTTATCATCTTTTTCATCATCTCATCAAGCATCGGTACAAAGAAGGGGATCTCTGCCGACAGAGGTACCCATTGCTCTCATGTGTCATGTTGATAATCCATCTCTTCATCTTCGAAACAAAATAAGCAGTGAAAAATTTACATCTAAAGAATCCTCTAAAACTAACAGTAGTCAACATAGCAGTTTCTTATTCGAGCATGCTAGACGGCATGGCTCACCTAGTGATCTCTTAAGTGTACTTATTGGGCCATCTGGCATGCTCAATACTATGCATGGTATCGTCAGTGGTCAGACAATCTGCGAATGCCCGCGTCCGGTGGCTCAAGAAAATTCCAGACGAAGATCTGGTGGTCTAGAAATGCTTAGTGGTCTTTGGAGGTCACGGACTAACGATATGGCAGTTAGTGTAGGAATGGCAACTAAACTAAAACTACGCAGACAGTTGTTAGAAGACTGGGCATCGTGGAGAACAGAGGAGGGTAATGTTAAACCACCCATAAGCTCTAGTTCAAGCATATCTGCTCTGGGTCATCAATTCAGAAGAGGTTCTGTACCTCTCAACATTTCTTTGTTGTCATTGAGCTCAGGTAAGTACAAATGTACGCAGTTGTATAAATATATACCTTCTTAAAGTATTTTACTATATGGAATAGAAATATAATAATCAGCTATTATTTCATCATATTCATCAATTTATTCAAGAAAAGTTTTGCAAAATTTCATCTTATGAAAGGAAGAAAAATTATTTAAGTATTCCACATGTGCAGAGTGAATAATTCAGTTCAAAGTGTATACTAAAGAAAGTGAACTTCTTATTAGAAAACGATGAAAACCTGAAATCGTTTCTTCTAAACCCATATGTTGATGTTAAAAACAAGAGGATTTACAGAACTATTTTTATAAAATGTTTTGATTGTCTTGACAATGATGTGCCAAATAAACCTTCATGACAAGGGAAGAGAAACATCAGTATTCACGTTCAGATGCTTTTACTTAAATTGATCAAAATATGTTTTCTTATTTCTGTTAAAGGATTATATTTTAGTTAGTTTACCTCTTTAAAGTTCCGTAATATATGTACACTAATCGACTATTGTCATACCTGGTGTTTCCCGAATTGATGAAATTTCAGTGCTGTTTGTCTGCTGTATGATTGTTGTAATTTTTTTATAATGGAGGACTACTAGGAAATCTAAAATAATTTCTGGAACACTAGAAATGCCTTCTTACTGTAATTCAGTGTGTCAAGTGGATTTTTATTTCATTAGTAATATTAATTTGCATATAGTTCTAGAACTTAGTACGCCAGCTATATTGTTAATACATTTAATATTCGAAATCCTGCTGTATATTTAAGATATTTTGGCAGTATGTATGTAGCTTATATATTGTATATTGTTGCTGATTTACTTATTGTTGTACTGTAGTAGTTGTTAAAAATTACTTTTTTGTACTTTAATTTCGTGTCTTAAAAGTAATGAGCATGATTTTAGTTTAGGTTTTTCATTTACATTTCACTTTATGAATACAAAATATCCATAGGTGCTAATTTGGCACTCAGTTGCAAATCTAAACTTCTCAGTTTTAAGATTTTTGTGAGTAAATAATTGATTGCATTTTCTGTACAACAAAATGTGTATAAAAGTAATATGCATTTAAAGTACTGTAATCAAATATATTGTCCTGATCACTGATTTATTGACCACATGTAATAAGTAACTAAATATTAAATTCCCTTTCACTTAAATTATGTCTTTCAGTGATGATATTCTCAAGTGCTTAAATTTTCAATAAAGTATTTACATATGTTTCATAGCAATTTATAATACCTGAATTTTCATGAACTTATGGTAAATATTTATTAAATTACAGGTTTCTAGCATCAGTTTCTCATCATCATTCGTTACGTACTTTTTATAAAATTACATGTCGAATTCCTTTAAAAATTGTTTTGTGCTTTATATGACTGTTATTAAAAGTCTAGAAATAATATTGCGATCTAAATAATGCATACATTTTAGTTTCTGTATTATTTAGTAAGTTATGGTAGGATTCTGATACTTTCACACTTTATTATGAATTTGCTGAACGCCGTTTTTGTAACAATTCTAATCTGAAATACAAAATATCTGTCCTTCAGTTATTTCTTCTTAATTTTCTTTAATGATAGGTCTTAAATTTTTAAAATTAAACTCGATTAAAAAAAGGAAAAAGTTGAGTAAATATTTGCGATAGCTTCATCAAAAGTTTTGACAGTTAAATGTTTCATTTACTACCTAATATGCTTTATATTTACATTTCTGTTGTTTGAGTTTTATAGTTTTCATCCGAATATCATATTATATTTTCTACATATATATTTATATAGTGCCCTTTTAATTATGGGCTGACCAGTGGCCGAGCGGTAGAGCTGCTGAACATTGGTAGTTCGACATTTTCATGCTGGTTCTACACATCCAGACCGTTCGAGTACAGACAAACGGTCTAGCTGCGTCACCATTTTCATCGTTTTCCCCATGTGTGACGTGGAAAAGAGACATTTTTAGGCAGAAGAGCTTGAGACCTTTACCATGATCAAATAAACCAAGCCTTTTAATTGAGATTTCTAAATGAAGAATTGGATTATTGATATAAAGGATTTAGTCGTATACATTATTTTCGGTGACTTTCAATACCTTCATTTGCATTTTAACCGTGTAAACTGCTTTATAAGATTATAAAAAATATTATTGAGATGTAGTTAATTTCAAATGAAAAAAGGTTATTAATTGCATTTAAAAAAACTAATAATATTTCTCTCACACAGCACTGGGAAAAATGCGTGATGAGTCTTGCCATTTTCGGGTTTTCCAATAGTTCCATGTTATCTTACATTGCGGTCAGTTTAAAAATATAAAAGTACCTATATTTGAAGCTATATATAAGTCATATAATATTTAACGTGGATAATAACGCTAATAAATAACTAAATGTAAGTGGATTAATTATCGAGGAGTCTCCAAAAGATTAAAGAGCGTATTTTCGTTCTTAATTTGTTCTATATTTCTTCGATGAGTTAATTTTAGGAATTTTCAATATTCAGGCAGTAAAGGAAATTAAACAAGCTACACGAAATAAGTTTTTTTTTTTTTTTTTTTTTTTTTTTTTTGTGCAAAGTTTTATGTTCGATAAGTTATGAAAAATATTTTTAATAGCCCACTTGAATGGACAAATATTATATCTAATTACTGGGGAATGGGATGCTATGATCTTTCTCGTTAGTGGACGGAACTATTCCTTGGCAAGAATACGAACAGAAAAGGCCCACCAGCGGCCGAGCGGTAAAGTCGCTGACCACTTGTAGTTCGGTCCGAGGTTCGAATCCCGCGAACGGGCATGGGCGTTTTCGTGGTAACACATGTGTAACGTGTATATGAGTCAGTTTCCCTTAGAAAGTCCTCACGAAGGCCTCTCTTCCCCTAGGCAGATAGCCCTAGTGTGCTTTGCCATAATTAAATAAGCCAAACCGAACAGAAAATTCATTTCATTGTTCCCAATAATATTATGTCAGTATGAATATAAGGAATGTTGACACGGGATTGAAACAAGTTTAAATACGGCTGATAGAAGTGAATGATGATTAAGTTTTTATCTTTGAAATCCCTGGAAAAGTACATTTTCCAAAATGGACATTATCAATATGTTGAGAATGTTTCAACCAATGAAGAAATAAAAGTGACTCACACACAACTTGCCCAGGTATTCAGAGGGAGAAATGCAAGTCATCACTGTGAGAAAATAGCAGGCGATCGTTTGGTGTAACGGATTACATTAACCGCCGAGTAGAAGTTTCAAAACCAATAAATACTACGATACGGTGCGAAAATCGTCAGTATTTGCCCTCAGGCTACATTGGTATTATAGACAGATCGCTTATTCTGACGAATCCTATATATGGTTATTTCGAATTCACGGAAGAGTCTGTGTAGGGCTGGAATCCAATAAACGTATGGATATATTTTACAACAACAATTTGCGCTGCCCCGCCTCGTGTAACTCAATCACATTACGGGTCCACTCCTCCTTTGGGCACCTCGTGGAGGTTCAACCTCCACTATTACCCTTCCAAGGAAGCGGCGCACCACCTGGATAAGACACCAGGCAGCACCGGTCGTCAAGTTGCTCTTACCAGTCTCTTGGGCGAGCCCGTCGCAGTGGGACATTACCCAGTGAACCCTGGGGAAAACCCCCGGGCTACTAGTACCACGCCGCGCTAGGACGTGCCAGACTCCGAGGCCGGCCAATGAGTGACCTTTCCCAGAGCCTTCAGAACCACCAAGTTCATAAATTTTGTACCCCCGTGGCCGAGACTACCTATGTACAGATCCTAGCCAGTAACTTCGCAGAGTTCTCTACGTCGACCCCTGGGGGATATATTTTACAGCAAAGAACTTTCTGACAAATGTCTATTTGTTAAAGCTGGAGCATAGCATATGCTGGCATATTCAGAATACCTCAGAATAAAGTCGCCAGACACCAGAAGTGCATTCTTGTATCTAAAATAAGCCAAAACGTATCCTCTGAACATATAACGAGAAATGCATAGTTTACATTTTACAAAACGTTGATGAGCCATAAAAAAAGAATGCAAAGGCTCTAGTACCATGCGAGAAACGTAGATATACAAAGCGCAATGAAAAATTCTTGTGTTGCGATCTCGTGCGTCTATCTGTTGTTGTTGTGCCCAATCCCCCTGGTGCGGGAAAGCCTACACCAAGTCCAAATGACAGCGCCGCAAAATAGAATCACAGAATCCTTCTCGGTGAATAACTGTCCCGGGTAAACGGACATACAGCCCAGAAGATGAGAAGGAGAAGCAAGAAGGGAAAAAATACAAGCAGAGAAAGATTTTTCCCCCTGCACAAAGGTCATACGGTGAAGGAGTCCGCTTCGAAGTCGCGCCGAGGCCGTCTGAAGGGTCCTGGATCTTCTGCACTGCAGAGAGAGACCGGAGCTCTTTGTTACGTACCATTGGTGAACAGGAGGGGTTTGCTAGGTCGAATTCACTTTAATCCTGTGTGAGGATTGAATGTTCGAAGGACATGAATCAGTGGTATTGGGATCAGGGAGGTCACAACAACGTCTAGCCAACTTATCAGCGGTCTCGTTTTTAGGCACACCCGCATGGGACGGTATCTATTAGAAACAAACATGTTTCCTCTGACTAAGCCTAGACAACTTCAGATTAATATTTTGACTAGTGCTGTACATGGTCTTTGGCCAATTCTGTAAATATTGGTTGGAGTATCTGCTGTCCATCAAGATCCAGATACTATCCCAGTAAAGCTGAGAGCATGGTTGACAGCGAGACTAATAGCATTAAGTTAATATCTAAAGACAGAACACTCGCTCTCGGAAGTTTTATTAATGCCACTCACTCCCTTACCCGTGTGCGATCGGCTTCCATCTGTATAGATTGCCAATGCCCGGTTAGGAATATCATCAATGACTTCAAGAGCCAACTGCATGAGTGATTCCGGATGCTGACTACGCTTGACAATACCAGACAACAATTCCTTCTGAAAATACCTTTCGAAGCAAAAGATATATAGACCAACAGGATCTCAAATTGTCACGACTGAAAGACGACTGGGATGGTGATAGTGAGTTAATTTACCAAACTCGGGTGCAAGATATAAATCCATTACCCTGGAACAAATTGTGAAGAAAATAAAGGAAGATTACATCCATTTGTACCTGCTATAAGTGCTGGAAATGTGAACCACCGCCAGGAATACTGACATCGGCTACTTTGAGGTAAGTTAAATACGTTCCGAAAAGCTTGTAGTGTTCATGATAAATCTGATAGCATCCTGAACATGATGCAAGAATTACACTTATGAAACAACTTGGATACATTCATCTGTCATACACAAAATAAGTCTGTGGATTCAAATGTGGGGGGGAGGCGGGCTGCCTATTCCATGAGACTGCCGTGACCTTCTCTTGGCGTGCTTACGATGTAGAAATTTTCCTTGCAAAATGTGTACGTGTTCCATTATTCTCAATCTGCGTACGTTGACGTGTAGTGTGAGATATTTTTCAGTAGCACGAGTGAAGTCCATAAAACGATTTTCAACTTTCTCTAAAGCGGAAACTACGCATTTCCGGCTGTGTGCTCTTGAGGCATGTTTTGCTTATCTTCGGCCATAGAATGAACTTCCGGAGTTTGACGATATTATTGTGGAACACCTTGTATATAGAGACGTCTTTGAATGATCCAGTTAATGTATCTTTCTTTATAAACTATCTGTATTCTTTTATATCACCATCCAACCACCGCCACCTATAGATTCTTTCAGCAGAACAGCGCCTTCTCACTTAAACTCATAGTTGCTACAACATAATTAAAAGAGCATTGGCAGATTGTTCTAATAAAATGGCTTTCGCGTCTCGAAATTTAAATGTTATTGATCGTCTATAGGATTTGTGGCAAGCTCTGCGAGGCCATCTGATCTCCAACTAAGAATGCGGCTTAATTACAATTATTAGTGGAGCAAGAACAGTGATTGAGGAAAGCTTAATAGATGTAATGATTCTTTGCCTTTATCAGGCCGTAATGGTACCGTTACCTAAATTCCCTAAATAACCGCAAAGTGTGCCCTAGATGGTAATTGAATCAAACTCATGCGGATATTTGTTTGAACATGTCTGAGCTAATATGTGAATGAATACAAACTGACAGAAGCAAATATTTGTTAGTTATTGGGCAGTAAATAGACATCTCTGTGAGCACTTTAGCATAAAAATTGGTCATCTAAATTTAAAGAGCTGTTATTACGTC